TAGCAGAGAAGAGGCTTAAAATGTATCAATATGTATAATTTTTATTTTTATTTTAAGTATCAAAGTATCAATATGGATTAAAACCAATAATTTTTATGAAAAGCCCTTTTTCAAAACAATTAAACATTTATTAATTGCAAAAAAGGTACACGTATCAGTTGTACAGTTGTAATAAAGAAATTGTCTTAGTTGTATCAGTTCAACTGGGTATTAATATAAAAAACAGCAAACATGCCTTACATATAATCTTATTTTTGGTTTAAATACTTTTTCTACTTATAGGACTCAGTATTCAAATTTTTATCATTTTTAAGACATTTCGAAAACATTATGCATTCCACCGTTGGCAAAGTGGAGCGATTTGCCCTATTTGTTTTGATCAAATTCAGATCTTAGAAAATGAGCTCTGCATAACAAGTTAAAAACACAAGTTAGTTTGAAATATAAAAAGTTATTTAAAGAATTTCATAGCTTGCTTACTCCTCTCAAAAACTATTCTATGTCTTCAACGCATTCTACTTTATTATCGAATTTAAAAAGTTGCCATTGTTTACAAATCTCTCTTTGTCGCTTTCTTTGTACAAATTAGGAAAAATGTTTTAAACTGTTAAAAATGTCGAATTACCGCTTCCTTTGTATGGCAATAATTGGTCACATGCAAGGCTTTTCAAAATTTCACTGTTAAAATCAAATCACTTTTTTATTTGCAGTTCAATTAGAGTCCGACCGATGAATCGGCCGATGCCGAGGCTAGCATCGGCCAAAAGAATCGGAATCGACCGTATTTTGGCCGATTCTTGAATGAGGTATTGTCATTTAGTTATTTGGTTATATTTTTCTTATGTTATTATAAAAATTTATAAAAGAATTTATTCTTAAAATGAAATTATATTCAGGATTTAATCGGCAAAGAATCGGCCGATGCTTCGGCCGATGAAAACCTGAAAAAAGAAAAACATAGTCAAATAACTAAATAACATAACCTCCTTCAAGAATCGGCCAAAAACGGCCGATGCCTATTCTTTTGGCCTATACTAGCCCCGGCGTCGGCCGATTAATCGGTCGGACTCTAAGTTCAATATAACATTGCTGATTTATTTTTTTTCAATTAGTACTTTACTTAAATGTGCTGTTGATATCTTCGTCTCTGCGGCACAAGTAATATATACTTCATTAATAGGTAAATTATTATCTGGGTTGCAAAGGTCTATATCAGCTGTGTCACTTGAATACAGTTTGGTAAAAAAAAAAATATAAGTTTATACTTACTTTCAAAATTGTTATNTTCGGCCGATGAAAACCTGAAAAAAGAAAAACATAGTCAAATAACTAAATAACATAACCTCCTTCAAGAATCGGCCAAAAACGGCCGATGCCTATTCTTTTGGCCTATACTAGCCCCGGCGTCGGCCGATTAATCGGTCGGACTCTAAGTTCAATATAACATTGCTGATTTATTTTTTTTTCAATTAGTACTTTACTTAAATGTGCTGTTGATATCTTCGTCTCTGCGGCACAAGTAATATATACTTCATTAATAGGTAAATTATTATCTGGGTTGCAAAGGTCTATATCAGCTGTGTCACTTGAATACAGTTTGGTAAAAAAAAAAATATAAGTTTATACTTACTTTCAAAATTGTTATGTATATATATATTGTTGCTGTATAATTCACTTTGAAAATCTATGTTGATTCGATTGACAATATCCAAAATATTTGACAAAACTAAAAAATAAATTTTTATTGGCGCGGAATCAACTTTTTCGGCAATAGCTGGCGCTTGGTTCACAACGTGATCGAAGCAAGATATGAAAAATAATTGCAATGCGCTTCACTGGGGCAGTAAGTTTTATGATTTTTAACACCAACGTAGTTTTGAAACGTGGCAAATTCGTCCGCCCTTTTAGCGCTATGTGCGAAGAAATTGTAAACATCTCTGACCAGTTTTTCGACTTATACGGAAATTTTTTTACACTATTGGAAAAGCATCAAAATTTAAAAAAAAGTATTTATCACTTTTGATCCACTTGGATCAAAACAGTCACACTGTATATATGTATGAAAAATAAAAAATTTCTAAGTATTGCTGCATAAGTTTTAAATTCAATAGTAGTTTGTAAGATTTGAAAACTTATTGTTAGTTTCGAAAGAAAGATTCAATAAATACGTACATACCTGATTGATGTAAAATTCGGGAGAGTAACGTGAATATGAGCTGAGAGAGATCTATCAGTATTTTTATGTTCTGTATATGTACATCACACAGGCAATATACAAAATCTGCTAAGACGTCATATTTCTGTCAAAATTTTCAAGAGTTAGCGGTATCACTATCAGCGCCACCTTCTCTATTCGTTTCACCATGAGCAGTATCAATAATGGGCGATATTTTCTTTAAACTATCGAGAGTCTATCAATATTCGCCTATTTTGTAAAAGATGAAAATCTAATTGGGGAGCATTTATAGTCAAAATTAAGTTGGTACTTAAAGTTGGTTGTAACTTTATTGACAGATAACCCATCCAAAATTATAGGGGTCTTTCCTTAAACTCGTAAAAGGCTCGTAAACCTCGTAAAGCTCGTAAATTTACGAGCCTCGTAAAAGAACTGTCAAATTTGTATGGAGCTCTATTTACGAGACCCTCGAAACGAAAATTGCTTCACAAAATCCTGGTTTATCTGTCAAACATTCAGTTAACGCACTTTTCACAAAGGGGCGTTCCCATAAAAGCCTCGTAAACTTACGAGTTTTACACAGTTTAAGACTTTACGAGTTTAAGGGAATCCCCTATATGTAAAAAATCAACTAAGGCTTTCTGCACATTGGTCGTCCAATCATAGTTGCTTCATCGTCACAATCATGATGCAACGATTACATGACGACTACACTTTCGCACACCCAGTCGTGATATTTCAATTCATGTGGCGTCTAAAAATTCACTTGGAGCAGGTATTTTCTGTTTTTCTGGTTGATATTTTCGCGAAATATTTACAAAAACCTGCAGTTTTTTAAATATAGACTGTGCTGCAACAATTCTAGACATCATTTTTCAGTAATATTTCTCCTTTTCTTTTCCTGAAATGTGTTTTTTTTATGCACACAGAGACTTTTTACAATTTCGTCATATTTTATAGTTAAAACGCTCACATTTATTGAATTTTAATGCAATTATCCACTTTTTAATAATCTCCACAGATTTAATGCAAAAAAATACTAATTTTTATACAATTTTAATGCAAATATTAACTTTTTGACTAATTTTTCCCATAAAATGTAAACAAACAATGCGTGCACAACGATTAGCAAACGACAGTGCCGTACTTATCCGTTTCTGTATCTTCTACGATATACCGATAACTAGCCGATAACGACAAGTGTGCAGATCTCCTTTGAAATGCATGTGCTCGGCTCAAAATTTCAGGGCGAGACGATAACGCAACTATGATTGGACGACAAGTGTGCAGATAGCATAACTACTAGCCTGTGTGTCAGTTGACCTAAATTTTAGTACCTAAACTAATATTCCACTAAAAATTTCCAGCACTGCTACAGTCTAGGAAAACAACTGCCAAAACTGTGCGAGTTCATTTGACAACCTAATTTTTTTGGGCATAAGTAAAAAATAGGGCTATATATAAAGAAAAAGTGGGAATAGTTCGCCTTCTTTCATTAATTGTAATGGTATTAAAAATGTTTGGTGCAAATTACTAGAGGCGGTGCTAGGAGATGGTAAAAGTAGAATTTTCACTATTTTAAAAAGCTTATACTTCGGAAATCATGTATATCTATACATATAATGTACACATATTTCAAAAAAACAACGAAAAATGAAATTATAGCAATTATAGAAAATGAATTATAGCCATTTATAAAAATGTATGTTTTTCTTAAAAAAATACGTAGTTAACTATAGATAGATTTTTCAAATTTTTCCCTATTTTTTTAAATACTGTTTTGTTTTTATATTCATATCTTATAATTGATTACGTATTTCTTTAAGAAAAAGACACATTTTTATTTAAAAAAGGACATAATTTGGTTTTTTTAATATACATATTTTAGTATATAGATATACGTACTAAATGAAAGGTATTTCAATTACCTTTCCAACTATGTCCACGGTTTGAAAATTTTCGAAAAATAAGCTTATGAAAAAATTGAAAACTCGACTTTTACCACCCCATTGCACCGCCAGAACAACAACAACAACCGCCACTTTTAATTTTCATCAAAACAAAATTCATACCATCAAAATCAAGAATAAGGGCCGGTTTATTAAAGACTGATTAAATTATTTTTAATCAGCGATTGGTTAATCGCTGATATCTTTAATTGACAATTTCGTTTTCACCAAGGTCCGATTAGCTTACCTCCGATTATGTCGATCATTGTGAATTTTTTCATAAAGAGTTCACAAAAGTTGCATTGTGAATCGACAAAAGCAGACTACACAGCTGATTTTTGTTTTTGTGTGGTTTTTGTTTGCAGTTTTCTTGTTTTAAAATTGTTTTAAACAATTGACAATTGTGTTATAGATATTGTGCTTACCAATTTGTGTACCAGCTCGTTAATTATTAGCCTATTCCCGTAACCAGGATTTGCAGGTTTTACAGGAAAAGCTGTTTCCGCCTTTAATACAACTTGTATGAACGTGGCGGACGGAAACCTTCCTGTAAAACTTGCAAATCCTGGAGTACGGGAATAGGCTATATGATAACCCACATGTTCCTTCAAATATCACATCACTTTTGGATTCATTTTACATGGTCGTATAGAAAATGGACGCACTTTAACAATTTAAAGAATCTCGCAGGAATAGCTTCGTGTTTTGTGGAAAATAAGAAAAATGGATTCAAATAAAAGAAAAAGTCGCCTTCCAAACTTTACCAGCGCGGAGGAGACTTTATTAATATCTTTGGCCGAGCAGCACGCCATGATTTTAGAAAATAAAAGGACTGATGCTGTATTCTGCGGGGAGAAAAAAAAGTTGTGGGAGAAAATTGATGTTGCGTTTGAGGCCCAGATGGGTGTTAAAAGAGGGCCGAAGAACTTGCGAGAAAAATACGAAAATTTGAAACGAAAAGCAAGAAAGTCCCTAGCCGAAGAGAGAAGGGAAATGTACAAAACAGGTGGTGGCCAATTCCGAAGCTATACTGACTCCAACACAGACAGGCTAGCAGCTTTAATGGGCCAGTCGGCAACCGGCTTGTCCAACAGTTTTGATAGTGATGGTAAGATTTTTTGTACATATCTTTACACGTGATAGTTATTGATGTTTAATAATATTAATGGTATTTCAGTCATTACATATGAAATAGAGACGATAGCAGAAAATGACGTCGTTCCCGAAATTTTTGGGACAATACAAACGATTGGAGCGCATGGAACCCAACACTGCTTAAAAAGAAGAAATCTGAAAAACTAGCGGTGAAAAATGAAAAGGGAAAGCAAAAGCTTGACCATCAACAAGCTTTCTGGGAAGATGAGAACAAGAGAGCAGCCGAAATACATCAGTGGGCAAAAAAAACACGAATTAAAGATTTCGGAAGCAGAGATGAAGTTAGAACTTTTACAAATTGATATGAAATTAAAAAACAGGCAAAGTGAAAGTCAGTGTACATACACAACAGAGTATATATAAATTAGAAAGGTGAAAGAGTTCCTTATCAACACCTGAAGTTGCTTTATTCGTACATATATATTTATTTTTATCAATGGGCTCGATGTATTCCAAACGGTTATGATACGTTTTCCTCCAAAATTTCGGGAACGTTATCATTTTCTGCTATCGGCTCTATTTAATACGGAAAGACTGAAATACCACTAATATTTAGTTTTTTGAAAATTATTATTTAATTTTATTTATATAAAACTCATTTGGAAGGTATTTTCAGTGTCAAGAGTATGCATACGCAGATGTTTCGATGATTTTTATTTATTTACACTATTATTGCGCATTGTTGGTGCTGGCTGTATATTCCNATTTTTTAAATTAAAAATTTTTTTGTTATTGCTTTATAAAAATATGGTATATGCTGTACCCAAACCCATATAAATCAAACTTTCAATTTTCATACGGAGCTTAGAAAAATTCAACAAAATGTCATCCCAATTTTTTATTTTTTAATCAGAATTTTTAGAAAATGTTTGGGTATGCAGTTTTTTACCCAATACAATCTTAGTCTGGTGAAGGCAAGTCTCAACCGGCTAAAAAATCGCGTTGAGTTTTAACAATTTTTATTTTGCTGACGGCTTTTTTTCAAATAAGCAAGAATTTCTTATGGAAAGAATGCGCAAGACCGTTTGCGAGGAAATTAAAAAAAAATCAACGCCATATTTTATAAATTGCATTTGTTGTAAGAAAAAACCCGCAAAAGCCATCACCAAAAAAATATTAAAAATCAACGCGATTTTTTAGCCGGTTGAGACTCGCACTTCATCAGACTAAGATTGTATTGGGTAAAAAACTGCATACCCAAACATTTTCTAAAAATTCTGATTAAAAAATAAAATATTGGGATGACATTTTGTTGAATTTTTCTAAGCTCTGCATGAAAATTGAAAGTTTGCTTAAAAAACCTTGCAAATATTTAACAGAAATCACTATGTACTCGGTTTTGCACTATAATGTATATTTTCTATATCAAATTTGATTTTATTTTTTATAAAGATTACTACATAGTTCATTCAACAGCGAAAACCAGTGTAGTACAATGCAGCAAAAAATCATCAAAAATCAACGTTAATTTTTAACGACTTTGAACTTGCCCTTTATTATATTAAAATTTACAAAACTGATTACTCAAAATGTTTCTAAGGAATCGAAATGAAAAGTTGAAAATTTCTTGCATAATTGCATAGCGTATTGTTGATGCTGGCTGTATATTCCAAATGGGTTCAGCTCATGTAAATCTTTATATTTTACGAAATATTTTGGCGAAAGTCTTAAAATATAATAAAATTTACAACTCCGCTAGAAAAACAGTGCCGATTTTTTTATGAAGAGTGATGCACTCGAATATACTTACATATATGTACATATTTTTGTATATTACAAATACATATGTATATCTATGTAGATAACATAGTCTAGTAATAGGAAATAAAATAAATAAATTGTCTACAAAACAGAATTTTGTTTATATTATGAAAATGCTTTTGAAGGTATGCATCTTACAAAATTTATGTTAGCCTATTAATATATACATACAGTTGTCCACAAAATAATAGCAGTACGATATCTTGAAAACTTTGGCTATTTGTCTTTTGTTTATTTAATGCTTATTATTTTTTTTGTAAAAGTCTAGCTGGTTCTACAACAAACACCATATAAATTAATATTTCAAACTTTGTACAAATATTATAAGTATACCAAAATTTCAAACTTTTTAATCAGAATCTTTAGAAAAAATTTTTGTATAGAGTTTTGTAGCCTTTAAGATATAGTGTATGTTTAGGCCAACAGCCTAATTAACTTGAACGTGTAAATGCACTGTGAGGAAATTGTGATGTTTTGCCATATGGCAACGCGAGCAGTTGACGAGTGTAGATACGGGCCCAATTCATCCTCATTGGCGGACTAGATGCCACATTGGACAATAAATTCTACCGTTCAACTCTCCAACTNTGTATAGAGTTTTGTAGCCTTTAAGATATAGTGTATGTTTAGGCCAACAGCCTAATTAACTTGAACGTGTAAATGCACTGTGAGGAAATTGTGATGTTTTGCCATATGGCAACGCGAGCAGTTGACGAGTGTAGATACGGGCCCAATTCATCCTCATTGGCGGACTAGATGCCACATTGGACAATAAATTCTACCGTTCAACTCTCCAACTGAAATCCCGCTATGGGAAAAAACTGTGTTGAGAGACGAACGGTTCAGGTCAAATAAGTGCCCTTGACATTCCTCGATCGGCTTTTGCATGCAGCAGTTCCAGCCACTACAGAAGATCATCTTTAATACAGTCCACAGCCCAATCTGCCCGACCTCAATCGGCTCGAGGCGGAACAGTGTATGAGGTGTAAGATTCAAGTCGCTAAAAAATCTGATTAAAAAGTTTGAAATTTTGGTGAAACTTTGAATACTTCTTATAATTTTTGTACAAAGTTTGAAATATTATTTTATGTGGTGTTTGTTGTATAACCAGCTAGACTTTTATTAAAAAAATAATAAGCATTAAATAAACAAAATAAACTAAAAACTACTGTACATATCATACACTGGTGGCCGGATAATTAGAAACGATCTATTTGTAAATATTAGTTTTAATTTATTTTTTTAGGAAAATATAGTGCATACTACACCGAAAATCAAATAACTCAAAGCTTTAAACTTTGTATAAGATTTATAATAATTCGACGAAGTTCGAAAAATGGACATCAAAATTTAAAACTTTTTATTTGGAACTCTTAGAAATAATTCGGGTATGCAGTTTTATAGCTCATTCATCTTTAGTATAATATTGTGCAAGACTATGTTAAGCGATTTCTTCCATACAAAGTGTGTTCAACATTTTTTTTGTATGATAGGAAATGAGCAACACCGCTAACAAAAAAAATTTAAAAAAATCAACGAGATTTTTGAGCTAATTCAAACTTGCACAATATTATACTAAAGATGAATGGGCTATAAAACTGCATATCCGAATTATTTCTAAAAGTTCCAAATAAAAATTTTGAAATTTTGATGTCCATTTTTCGAACTTCGTCGAATTATTATAAATCTTATACAAAGTTTAAAGCTTTGAGTTATTTGATTTTCGTTGTAGTATGCACTATATTTTCCTAAAAAAAATTAATTTAAAAATAATATTTACAAATAGATTGTCAAAACTTGAAAAAGAAAATCGTTTCTAATTATCCGGCCACCAGTGTATATGGTACGAATACCAACCGAACCCGAATTCGAATATTAATACAGTAACTGGCACTCCTGGTATTCCTTTATAACCTGAAAAAAAGAATAATTTACATTATTTATCCGTGGCTTAATGAGCTGACTTATGTATAAACTAACCTTGCAAAATAGTCTCTGATTAAACTCGACCTCATAAAAGAGACTCCTGGCGTTTCGGTCGTGGATTCATCTGCCTCCATTGCATTTTCAGTGGACTCTTCAGCAGTAAAATTCTCTTCTTCGGATGGATCCGCATCTCTTCTGGTTCTGATTTGAGACTCGTTATACAACCGTTCCGCAGCAGTGTTAGGATGTAAAAGCGGCGTCATCATGTATCTACTGACACCATACCCACTATCGCCTAGTACAAAGCAATCCTTGAATTGATTTAGCTCAAAACGATGCTTAATACGGCTATTATTAAAAATGTTGGCATCATGTGCGGAGCCAGGCCATCGACATACAAGATCAGTTATCTCCAGATTTGCATAGCAGACTGTTTGTACATTATACGAAAAAACCCTTTCCGATTTCGGAATATTTCGGCGTTTACTCCACCAGGCGATTGGATCTTTACATGGGTGCAGTCTATACATCCAACGACTTTTGGGAAATTTGCAATCCGATGAAAACTACGATTAACAATTTCCAATTCTGCACTGTTTTTTGGCATTTTAATATACTCTCTCGAAAGTTCTGCGATTGCATAGGAGACTCTTTTGACTACTCGGCTTGCAGTGGACGTACTCACTCCACAGAAATCAGCCACTGTAATTAAAAAGCTTCCTGATGCATAGAAGCGCAACGCTAGCAATAACATTTCCAATGGGCTCAGTGCGTGGTTTCTGTAAAACGAATTTTATTAATACAAACGATGCTATTTTTAATATACATATGTAAACCATATTTCCACAAACCTTTGAGTGTAATTTCGAATTTTTCTTTGAATTTTTTCAAAAATATACAGAGCACTTTTTTTTGAAAGACGAAACCTTTTTACAAATGTATACTCGTCATATTCCTCAAAGAAATTTGCTTTCGCTCCATATGTTCGCGGTTTTCTTATAACGCGCATCGAATCCAAATTGGAAATAATAGAAAGCCCAATTATATGTTCCATAATTATAAAAATGTGCGTGTAAATAACAATAAATTAATTTTTGAAATGTTTGACAGCTGTCAGATGTCACTTTTTGATCTGTTAGCAGCTAACCAGTGGCCATCGCCTGGTAAACTTAATCGGTTTGTTAACCGACGAATTTCGTGCTAATCGAGCATTGAAAAAACGCTTTTTCACCAAAACACCGATTACTGAAACACCGTTTAGGCACTAATCAGTCTTTAAGAAACCGGCCCTAAGTGGCGAGCCACGCCTACTGTTTCTTTTGTTCTAGCTCATCGGGCCCTATTCTTTATACTTTAAGGGCTGGTTACTCAATGTCTGGTTAACACTAATCTCCGGCTAACCATTGTTATCGACGTTACCGACTCCCTGTTGTATGCATGGAGTTGTTGTTGTTGTTGTTGTAGCGGCACTACTAAGCCCCGCCTGTTTCGGGTCAACTTTTAATCATTATCGTCAAGCACAACTAACGGTAGGCCCAGGAAACGAGCTGTTTCGATGGGGTCGGACCAAAGGGAGAGAGGTGTTAGTTGAGTCGGATTGAGCTGGCATGTGAAGAGGTGGTTGGTGTCGTGGGGGGAGTCTCCACATGCCGGGCACTCATTTGGGATGTTTGGGTCGAGTCTGGACAGGTAGCTGTTTAGGCGGCTACAATATCCAGACCGTAACTGAGCCAGGGTAACGCGGGTCTCTCTAGGTAACTGAAGCTCCGTCTTTTCCACAGGTGGTGATTGGGCTCCGATAACGACATTCCTAGGCCGGGAGTCGAGGTAGGTGGAGACAGACTCCCTATGAATGTCGTTAATCGCTCGTCTCTACGTCATTGGGTCCAGTGGTTGGTCTGTGTAGGTC